CTTAATCCAGCCCTGGCTCTGACTCCAGAGGCAGTTCTTAAATGCAACAGTTTGGGTTGCTTGCAGCTTTGCCTTTGGGGCAGGGAATTTGTTATAAAAAGTGGGAGGGGCAGGGTGATTAAGAATAACAAAAGGTGAGTTATTCAGGTAATTGAAGGATCATTAAATCATCATGAAAACATTGCTGGGTACCCCACTTAAAAAATACGGGGGAAAGTGTAGGAATGAGTGTTGTGCTGCAGGAATCTGCATTTGGATCTCTTCTGTTAAACTTCTCTTAAATGCTCTTGAAAAAGGGGTGAACAATGACTAATCCAAAGCTGACTGGAAAGAGTTACAAAGAGATCTCACAAAGCTGGGTGACAGGGCAATACAAAGGCATATGGAATTCAGTGTTAATAAGTGCAAAGTAATGCACATGGAAGAATATAATCCTAACTATAGAGAAAAAAGTGATGGTGTCTAAAATACCTGTTATCACTCAAGAAAGAGATCTTGGAATCTTTGTGGGTAGTTTCCTGAAAACATCTACTCAACATGCAGTCGCAATCTAAAAACTAAGAAGCTAACAGAATATTGGGAATCATTAGGAAAGGAATAGATAAGACAAAATACCATATTGCCGCTATATAAAATCATTGTGTGCCACATCTTGAATACTGTATACAGAGCTGGTCACTCCATCTAAAAAAAGATATATTGAATTTGGAAAAGGTACAGAAAGGGCAACGGAAATGATTAGGGGTAAGGAACAGTTTCCATATGAGGAGAGATTAACAAGACTAAAACTTTTCATCTTGAAAAAAAATGATTAAAGGGTGGAGGGATATGTCGGAGGTCTAGAAAATCATGAATGGTGAGGAAAAATACAATAAGGAAATGTTATTCATTCCTTCACTAACATAACACAAGAAGCTGACCAATTAAATGTATAGGCAGCAGATTTAAAACAAACAGAATGCATTATTTTTTTCATGGTCAACTTGTGGAACTCTTTGCCAGGAGATGGTGGAAATGCCACACTATAACAGGATTCCAATAAAAACAAAATAAGTTCAAGGAGGCTGGGTCCATCAATGACAACTAGCCA